ACGCCGTTCTAAAATTAATCGCCGATTTTCCGCGCACAAATCACGAACAATCTGATATTTTAGGATTGGCTGACGCAATTCGAGCACAATACCGTAAAACTTGTGCAATTTTGAAAATAAACGGAAAATATCCGGAAAGTGATAAATTGAGTTTTTAATATGAACAATTTAATGTTTTTAATCATTCAGTTTATTTCAGTTATTCTCCGTGTACACTCGCATTTAACAAACAAAAATTGATGGGAGATTGTATTCAAATCGGTGTGCTTAGTGATCTAAAAATCGGAATTATTGGATATTTTCCAGATTTTACTGGATTCGTGCACTACAGTTTACTGATTTATACCATGTACTATTACAGAGAGCCTACCAAGTTTTTGCATTTTTGCTATTTTAAAAACGAAATGTTCAAAAGTCAAATTAAGTGATTTTTTTCTTCTCTTTTGAAGATATATTCTATAATAGAGAAAGCACTGTCGCTGAAATAAAGACATTATTTTGCTTTCGATTTTAATTCGCCTTCTATAGGGAATGGAATTTAATCAATATTATTTTAATTGTAACGTATAACAGACTTAGTTACACATTAGTTACAGAGTTGATTTTTTAATTAATATTGCAACAACTTAATTTTTTACAATTCCGTAATTTACTTAATGCACTTACGCAATTCCCTTATCAAAAGGAAAAATGTTGAATAATCTAGAAATTCTGGACTAGAATAGATAGATAAAAATTCAATTTTATCACAGAACACCTAAAATGCCCATATGACCTGAAATTATGGAATAAACTCAATAAAGATATTCAGCCATATGAAAATTGAAACTCTCTCAGTTTGTTGGCAATAAGTCTGAATCAGCCGACAACCGCCTTACACATTTTGAAATCCATCACAAAAACGAATTGTATACCAGTGTAAATGTTCGGCGAAAGATCGCATTAGTTCCTGCAAGTTTCTACAAGAATTCTAAAACTTGTAAATAGTCATTTGAACCTAGTCAAAAAAATAAATATGGATAAGAGAATTTCTAATTTGTTGCGCAGCATAATTGATTAATAAAAAAACGGTTGTTATTCTTTCAGAATAAAAGTAGCTTTATTTTATTTTCATTTTCCATTTATTTTCAGTTTCAATTTACTTTTGCATTTCAGAGCACAATTACAAGCTAATTTTATAAACGGAGATTCACAATGATCTGCATCAGTTTGGAATGAATTATTTGTTCTAATATCTATAGTCGAAAAAAATACACACCGAAAAAAAAATAATGATAATAACCACAATATAATAAATAGTAAATGCTGATCAAACTACATCTTTGATGGAATTATGAATTCCATTGAGAAAAAAGACTGTTTTGAACACGGTACGATGTTTTTGTCCAAAGTCATTTTGAACATTTATTCGTAATATGTACTGTGTAATACTGTAATAGACGTTAAGCTGCAATTTTTTTCTTCTCATCACTTATTCTGGCGAATATTCAAAATGACTTCGAACAATTGTTCTATTACAAATTAGATATAAAAAAAATCTGGAATATTCTGTAAAACTGAGATTACATGAGATTGAACTGTTTGGAAGTATATTGAATTCGAAGAGTGATTGCAATTAATTTGAATGTCTCCGAGTACAAGACTCAGAGAGAAAACTTCACGATCCACTCACATATTTTTCGCGATCAAAGTTTTTCGATTGAATCATTTTAATTAAGTCTGTAGATGTGTGTGTACAAATATTTTTTTCAGAAAATGAACTTCCATTTGGCAAAACTGTGAGTATGGTTAAAAAAGGGTAAATTTTCTATAAAAAATATTTGTACGTACATTTCCAAACAAAATATTATACACATCCCCTACACTTAGAACCAATAATTTAGAAAAATTTGATCGCTGAAAATTGGTGAGTACGCATCCAAAAAAAATGAAGCAAAATCCAGTAAAATTCATGGCATTTGTGGATTTTGTATTCATTGCAATAACATCATTTAAACTATTATTTGTATGAATTGAATATGAATCGTTGCGGCGAAACAGTAGCTCTTATTTTTCTCCAAATAATACTGCAACATGAAGTTTTTTTCACATGGTTTATTTGTTGTAATACAACAAATAAACTATTCATAAAAAACTTTATGTTGCAGTAATATTTGGAGAAAAATAAGAGCTACTGTTTCGCCGCAACGATTCATATAGAATTGTACGTGTTGTGAGTTGCACGAACAAAATCTGTGGAGTGTGTATTTCGTTGGACAAAATTGCGTTGTATTGTTATTCATTTAATTCGAGTTTAAAACCAAATTAAATTTGGTTGAATTTTGTCAAGAACGAAAAAAAACTATATCATAGAAACGAAAAAAAAAATCTCTTTGGTGCTTTTGAACGCGATTTCATTGAAAGATAACAATCTTCCGTCCAAATCAAAAAATACACACTCCAAAATGTGGAAGATTTTGTTGAACTATTTTGTTACTCTTAAAGATTTCGAATATATTTGGTGCGTCGCAGCAGAACTGAGCATGCAGTAAGTCCAGTTGAGTATTTGCCTAATTCTGAAAATTGCAACGTTTGACGTGGAACGTCGATTTTTTCCGAAATGACCGCCGACGAAATGGGACAATCTTGTACGGCCCGATGTATTAATGTGCCATTGATAAATAGCACATTGGCCGCACTTGCTTCGGACAATGTGAGCGTTTGGTATGAAAAAGTTGCTTCGCGTTCGATGCGTCGTAAAATTTCTTGCGATTCTTTCGTATTGGCAACGCATAATAGATCCGTACCGGCCATCGAAATATAATACTTGAGATGATGTTCTTCGGTAACTTTAATCGGAACGCATGGATATTCGGGAAATGCGGCCGCTACCGCTTTGGCACCCGCCTCATTTGTCCATGGCGATAAACCGACAAAAAACTCTTTTCCCGTAAATAAAACATCGCCGCCGTCTAATTTGGCTTTTGGATCAGCAATTTCAACAATTGGAATATCTAATTCTTTTTTGAAAACTGTTCGAATATTTTCCGTTTCTTTGGAACGATTTGGTTGGCCCGGTTTTGTAATCAATGCAATGCCATTGCATATGACCGCTGTGTCTTCGACAAATGTGCATTCGGGAAAATTCTCATCCGGCGGCAATTCGATAACGTCCAAACCCAATTCACGTAATAAATTTACATATGCTTCATGTTCACGTTTTGCTTCTTCCAAATCAATTTCGCCGCGCGTACGAAACGACAACGGTATCCGACACACAATCGCATGTGTATATCTTGATGATGCCATTGCAAAAACGGATCACGGACCTAAATGAATGACAATAAAAGAGACAGAAAAAGAATACGACACACATGACAACATTACTGACCAAATATGAATATACATTTCACGTATCGTTCCATCATATAAATGGAGCAATTAATTAAATTGATTAATCTAAGCACTGGGGTCATCGTGCCTACCATATATACATATACTCGATATGCTCTCGAATTTTGGGCACAGATCAACTTTAATTGAATTTTTGATTGATTTTCTAACTGGTATGGCCTTCAATCGAACTGCGAACTGGTTTGAATTTTTTTTTTTGTTTGGCAATTCAAATGAAAAACATATTTACACTTACGATTATTCACAATGTTTGAAATGCACACGCAACGGAAACTTGAGAGTTAAATCGCTTGATTTTTCGTCTTTGGAATTTAACGTCGAATTAAGTGTCGAGCGCTGCTTCTTCTCTACAATATAATAATGGAAATTATCATATGAACCGAACAAATTGAAATGATTTAATTCACTATATAAAACTTACCAGTGCCAAATACGGTCTATGTGAGTTATTCGCATTTCAAACGCCAACTTTTAACTAGGAGTTGTCACGCATAAACACACAAACTCGGACCCACCAATACATACACACACACACACACACACGTGCGCGCGTACATGTACAACATCACATTCATTTGACAGCTAACCGATACACACAGCACACAATTTTACTCGTTTTTGACATTTTCATTGGATACGTTCAATTCATGTCACGCACATTCACTTGATGCAAATCGTTTTTCTACTCATGCAATTCGATTTTTTTTGCTTGTTTTTTTTTTCTTTTAAATTTTGTTCATTTTCCAGAAAAAAAAGAGAGCAATGTAACACCAAATCGAATAAAGTTTAGGATAAAATGTCGATACTTTCATGTCATGTCTTCTAGTCGTGTTTCCATTTGAAAGTTCAAAACAACACAATATGTCATTTCAATGGTAAACAAATTTCCAAAGCCGCACGTTGAAAATGTCATTTGCTTTATCGCCAACGATAAGCCTGCACAATTTAATACTAAATTTTTCAATTTTGGTGTGACATTCAAACGGTATTTCAATTCAATTAAAATTGCTAAAAGGATTTCTATTTAAATGTCAATAAACGTAGCGAATCAATTGATACGAAATTATTATGGATTGGGACGGATGGCAAACTATAGAAGTGTGAATAGATTGTATAGTACTCGTATTTTAAGCTCAAATCAGACTCTAATATGCAGAAAAACTGTTTCGATAAATTTGTGCGAGTACAGCACTCAGAAACCATCGTCAAATGCACCAGCATCACCATCAATTCTGCCAAAAATCACTGCACTACTCAGTGAAACCAGTAAATTGACACCAGTGTCACAGACCATCATCAATAATGGAAGGTCATTGTTTCGGCGACAGTGGGATGCATTTTTCAATTGGTACGATGAAATTTCACACACAAACGAGGTTCGTATTGCACATAAACAAGTTGAAGATCTGCAAGACAAATTGAATCAAGCTCAACAATTGCGTCGTGATGTTAGCAAAGAACTCAATGACATTCGATACGAATTACAAGTGTGCTATGCCGATCAGGCAAATTGTCAAAAGGGCGATCCACGGTATTTGGAGATGATTCGAAGAGAAATTGAGGTGAGAAGTTTTGTTTTTCTAAAAGGACGTTGAATAAATTTCGTTTTGTTACATTGACGATGAATTTACTTCCAAAGGTGTCCAGCAGAGAAAAGCAGAAAACTGAGGAATTCAATTTGCTTGATAAAGCCGAACGTGATCTTTTCATATTGATGCAATCAGCTATAAAAACATCACATGAAAAAGAGAAAATTCATACAAACTCAGCAAAGTATTGGTCAATTGTTGGATCGTTAGCAGGTACTAAAACGATTCATCAATTTCGCTTTTATCGTACTTTCTTCAGAAAGTCCTTTGAAATTAAAAATAAAAAAAATACTAACATAACTACAACAATCACTTCTATTGTTTTTATTTCGTATCATCGCATAACGTTATCCAGATGAAAAAATCCAAATATATTGTCTGATTCATTAAATGAGTTTAATTTGAAAAAAAAAAAAAAAA